CCAAGTACTGGGAGACCAGCCAAGTGTTGAGTCTGCGAAATATTTCGAAGTTTGCAGCCAAAATATAACATCGCCCAGGATATCAAAATTAACTAAGAGGGACACCGACATTAGAAATAATATCTAGGAGTTTTTCCAGTCAGATAACTTTCTTTAATGAAAATTATCTTTTGTTGTACACCCAGAAAAAATATGATTTGTTTTGAGCTGACCACTCTAAACTACATTCCCCATTGAATGCTCAAAAGAATCATTCAATAGTTCTAGACTTGTTTCATGAATGAAAACAGATTATTTTAAACATGATATGATACTTTTATTAAACAATTCAACATGTGATGATACACATTAAGAGAATTTATATCTTAATTGCATCATGCTTGTGTTCCTCAATACAATACTTTTATTTTCCGTCGTTACACAAGCTTATTGTTAAAATCATATAAAATTTCACATAAAATTGTTACATTTTAAAATTGACGACATGTTTCGATATACAATTCTATCATCGTCAGGTCTATCAAAATTAAAATTAAAATCTGGTGTATCTGTTGCTCTGCTTATATTGCTTTTGTTTTTATCCGTTTTTATTACATCTCCAGGCTTCTTTCATTTAATTTTGGAGACGCGCCTGGGTGCCTATATCGGGTTGTGTGTGAGGTGCGTGTCCGTTGTTATTGAATGGCAGACAGCAACATTAAGAGAAATATAAAAACAGACACAACACTAAAAGCTGTTAATTCATCTTTATTCAGTAATTATTATAATAATTAATAATTCCAGAATTAAATCCTCTGGGTGATATATACACTACATATCAAGTGAATTTCATTATGACTGCTAAAATATAAATTACATTTGATATTAAAGAAATACAAAAATTTAGTTACAATTATCATGTTTCTACAATGCAAATAGGAAAATAAAATGTAAAAAAATTGAACTTCGTGGCACGACAACAAATGACGGGACTTTCACAACAAACACTTCGCTCTCAAAACGACTCGACTCATTCGGGGATGGATTTTACAAATGTGTGGAGGTTATTATGCTGACAAACAGCAGGGATGTATGTAGGATGAAAATACCAACATTAGAAACACAAATAATTTTTTAAACCCCCAAAGATTATCGGGGTCGGTGGGCCGGTCACTCACTACCCATAAATGCTTCACGTCAACACCAAGTAACCTCCGAAAATGAAGGCGGCGGATACCCACATCAGGGTTGTAGAGCCAAGAAACAACAACAACAAATATTATTGGGACATAATACAGGTAAGAAATCCCAAATATTATAAGGATATGTACAACTTACATACGGAATCTATTAAATTTTCAATCTTAATTGTAATACATCTCAGTAACAAGCAGTGTTACAAAATTATACATACATCCACATATCACACGTCACAAAGATCATTATTTCCTTTCATCACTACCTGAAATTTCAATTAATTTCCTTAATCAATAAGAAACACACCAGATATTAATAAATAACAACTGAAAAGAGTAAAATTAACTTTATACATGTTCTTATGTTAATTAACAGTTTTGGGTACTAAATGCTATTTTGACAATATGGTCCAAGTATCTTATTTAATTCACAGTGATAAATACACAGGAACATATTTATATTAAAAGGATTTTACTTCCATTGTTCAACACGCAAGGTGACTCACGACTATTTAGAATGAGGATTTCAGAATCAACTCCTCACTGAAATATCAAAAAACTATATAAAAGACCTGGCATTCGATAAAACAATTAAGAAAACCTGAAATAAAACACATTTACGTCGAAACAACAGGAAACACCACTTGGTCTTCAGTTACGCAGCCCCTGAAAACAAAAGACGTATGCAAATGTTCTGTGCACATTAATGCACGTTGAGCAACAGAGCTTACTCGCACGGACTTAAAAAAATTCCATTGTAAAATTCAAAGTTTACATCTTAATCAATTAATCTTAATCTTGTCTCAAGACGCCAACTTCAACAAAGCAATGGGTCACCTTGTACATTGGACAGTCAGCTAGCATTCTTCATAGAACACGTACAAGAGAGAATAAGTAACATAATACTTATTACAATTATACCTTAAACATCTTCAAAATACAATATTTTAAGCTTTATAAAAAAAACTGAATTCAATGGACTCCATTCCAAGCTAATACCACCCAGTTCACACCTTAACACATTATTTCTGCAACACCTATTTTAATATTATCCTACCACGCTGATTCTTCCCTTGAGGATTTCTGACAAAATATTGCACGTATTTATTTTTCTCTGGTGCATGCTACGTGACCAACTTATCTAAACACTGACACTGTCCGTAAGAACCAGACTGATACAGTAACTAATACGTGTTTTCTGATATAATAATAATATTATTACGCTTAGCTAACAAGAAATTTCTAGTATTATATGCGACCCCAAGGCTCAGTGCCATGTTCACCAGCCAGACGAATCCACTTTAATATTATCTGCCCATAAACGCTCTATTCCCTTCGGGCTTTACATCCAAAAAACTTTGTATTCACTTATTCTCGGTAGTTTGAACATCCTACAAATATTTAAGGGGTACAAATTAATTACGCAGATTTATCCATCCTGATGTTAACTCCTCCTTCCTAAGTTCAAATATCTCTTCGGTACCTTGTTCATTGTGATAATGAAGAGCAAAGACAGAAATTTTGACTTCAAAAATAAATTATATTCGAAAAGAAATGAGAACCGACTGACAACGTTAATATTCCGTTTTATGCGTACACATGTTTTTGAGACTCCTGTATGGTCAAATTAAAAAAGTAATAATTATATAATCATATAATAACAATGCAAAATATGTATTATATACGACCACCTTTAAAACTAGGTTTTAGTCTACGCTATTATCCACTAATGTCTTGTCGTGACACAGTATGAAAAATTTACGGCAACAAGTGATAAGACACAACACGAATCTTGAAGGTTCACAGACAAACTCTGAACCTTCACTTACATCTACATGGACTAAAAGCAAAAACCTCCAAGACAATTTCTCTACTTGTACTGTTATAATAAATAAAAGAATACAATATTTTTATTTTCCGTCTATACACAAACTTAAAATAATGTTGTTTAAAATTATTTCATTCTCAATAGACACTGCATCTTGTTACATTTTTTGTATCGACGACATGTTTCAATGTGTATCACATCATCATCAGGTCTATCAATTCTAATATATTTTAAAAACTGTTGTACATTTTGCGTTGCAACTGCAGTTTACCGTCTCTTAATATCGGACACACAACACATCAATTACAACCCGATATAAAACATCCAAGTACAACCTCCAAAATCAAAAGGAAGAGACAAAAAACTTAAAATTAAACAAATTAAAATAATCAATAAACGCAACGCAAAATGTACAACAGTTTTTAAAATATATTAAAATTGATAGACCTGATGATGATGTGATACACATTGAAACATGTCGTCGATACAAAAAATGTAACAAGATGCAGTGTCTACTGAGAATGTTATAATTTTAAATAATTTTAAACAACATTATTTTAAGTTTGTGTATAGACGGAAAACAAAAATATTGTATCAATAAAACACAAACATGACGCAATTAAGATATAAAATAAAAGAATGTCTATCGAGTGCTAGGTCACTCTGCGCGTAAAGTAATATTACCATGGAAGGAATGATGAAGGTGAGGGCAGCAGTTACGTCCTGTTGACATAATATCAGATGTTTAAATTTCATAATGAATGTACGAGCACAGCTCTGTCTACATTTTGAATCCAGTTGGCATTCGTAACTGACAGAATATTTCACCACAAAATGGAGACAGATAAATAAAACTATCGATTATATTTCCACGTTTTCTTCGTCTAAGTTCATAATTGGCACATCACATGTAACAGCACGTTTCATCACCAAAACAAATGAATGGAATTTTTTTTATATATAAAAAGCAAACTTGTTCACTAAAGGAAACACAAAATTACGCTGGCCACTTTACCTTCACAGAAAGAGACGAAGGCAAAGTGGACCCCAAAGATGGTCTGGAAATGGTCGTGAAAAGGATAAGCCCTGTTCTCGACAGGTACTGAACTCAGGTCATCTAACTGGGCGTGCTATTATAATGCCGTTACTTATAAAGATGAATTATGACACGATATTGCACACGCAACATTTTTTTAATAACAAGTTTGATAATAGTATGATTAACGTGGTGAATCCTTTATTCCAACATTTTCCACACCCTGTAACATGTTCCCAAATTAAATTATTTTACAGATATATTTCTACTTTTATTTCTAACCCACGAATTTTGCTCTTAGAATCTAAAAGACGTCACTTAAAATATCGTAACACAATGAAAATACATCACGTAGAGACCTCAATTGTTTTATTTAACATTTAAATTTAATGACGCGTGACCAATAATTATTTGCAAATGTTCAGACTTCACACAGACCTGACATCGGTAAACAAAATTCTATATATACAAACCTACGTACGACTGATATTAATCATTTATTTTTTCATTCAAGTGATAGATAGCTTGAGATTCTCTATTAAATTTTTTTGCAGAGGCTGAAAAATCGCTAGTATAATCATACTCTATCATAATTCGCGTCACATTGACCACAAGAAATGTTCTAAATAAAGGCGCCACAAAATACTGCCCGGTACACAACCCAATTCCTGTGCAACGCCCAAAATGCAGGCAGCGTGTCTCCTACTCGCGCTGTTTCTATAACAGACGCCAAACACCTGCAGAAGAAAGAGACAAGCACGTTCGTTACACCACAAAGTACCAACAGCATCCAGCACACGGCACAAATGTACCTTGTTTCTCTTCGCAAGCTACACCAGTCACATACAACGAGGATGTACCATGGCTGCCACAGCTTGTACCTCTTACATGACGCCAAAACAACGATTACTGTTTAAAGCAGGGGTTCCCAACCTTTTCCAGGCATGGGCGACATTAATTACTGCTTATCGACTCATAATTAGAACAATTCACTGACACGTCATGGCAATTTGTTCAGTTCTTTCTATATTCCTTACTTTCATTTCTTCTTTCTTTTTTATTCATTCTTTGTTTCCTATTACCTCTGTTAGAATGTGTCGGATGTATGCATTGTTGCTGAAGAAACTATGAATGGGGCCACTAATATTCTTCTAATGTCTGTAGTATGGATTTTTTTTTTTTTTTAGTGTTCTGTCTGACGACAGGTCCGTATGAACAGGATCCTTCCATCCTTTTCTCGGACTGGGACCTGTTCATATACGTTCTTGGCAGATGATCCAGAAGTGGTTTGCCATTGCCTTCTTCTGTGTGTGAATGCCACGGAGAAACCGGGGAAGCCCCCGGAGGAAAACTCCGTGTTGCCTAGACCACGGCCTTGCCCAACACAAGTTAAAAATTCGGGCACCGCCGGGAATCGAACCCGAGACCCCAGGAAAGTTCTTATTACGAACTTATTATAAAAAAAAATTGTATTATTACGACAATCAACCTGGAAACAGCGTCATGAAAGAGACTGGAATCTCAGAAACTACCCCCAATTTTGTCTCTGAGGAATTTCTACGTACTTCATGCAGCAGTTTCATGAAATTGATCGTCTTTTGCTCAATTCCTTTTTATTTCATTTGATTTTATTTTCTGTTGTAAAAACGCAAAGAATTCCTTCGGTGTTTGCAGGAACGAATACCAAGGCCTCCTCCTATAGCTGGCCCATACAGCACATGCCAGTCACGGCCACATGGAATTCGCCATAAACTTACCAGCTCGAGTGAGAAGCATGCATTTTCACGCTAACATCCTCCAAAACGAATCAATTCCCAATGCCACGGATCTGCAAATGTGTTTGCAGCTTCAAGACCCGGGGGGGGGGGGGGGGGGAGAGAGAGAGAGAGAGAGAAGAATAAGAAGAAGACACAGATTTATTCCAACTTGTTTCTAAGCACAGGCAGCATTTTCAAGGTAGAAGCTACGCTCTTTTACATTTTGTGACTGTATTTCAAAATAACATTCAATTCCTATTGAATTTCCTAACGACGTGATCCTTAAAACAGCGAGAAAGTAGCTTGTAAATTTTATTCACCGAGGACTGAGGATTGCTGGTCTCTGCGTTGGGATTCGAACCAGGGATCTCTCAAAGAAAGTGCTACCAACTATCCCACGATGCTGTATGAAACTCTTTGCATCCAAGCATAACAAAAAATACGTTATTTAATAATTTTTTAAAGGTTAGGTTCATCACACAGCAATTACGTCTGAAATTATTCATTGTCCGAGTTACAGGGCCATTAACATACGTGATGTGTCTAGCATTTTTACCAGCTGCCAATAATATAGAAAGTAAAAAAAAAAAATCAGTCACTTAATCTTGCTGAAACCTATAATTAAGCGATTTTGCGTGCAGCAGACGCCTAATAAATATTTATAATACATATAAATATTCTTTGTTTGGTCTAATTCGTTCTCTAAGGCAACAGATTTTTGATTATTTCCTGCGCCGTGTAGTCTAGTAGGATCTTACCAACGTTTCAGAGGTCCTTTCTGCCGCCATCATCAGGGCGCTACAACCCAGAAAACAGCTTTCTTCGTACTCACCGCCGTGAAGCAGACATTTGCTTGGTGGGACTTACGAAAATATCACGATCAGAACCAAGAACCTTTTCATTATCATTATCTCTGTTACACGTTACAACTTGAAGCTGGCCTGACTACCGCGTAATGTTTTTTTTCCTCTCTATCAATTTGCGAACTGCCAATGGCCGTGTGCTTCTGCCCACCTGCAGATGTTCCTTATAACACTTATTAAGGAAGGACCTTTCACGAACAGAAGTTTACTGTAAAGGCTGCAGCTATCTTCCTGTTGTTTCGAAAGATCTCGACGTCATAAAACAAGGCTCAGCTATTCTGATACAAGCTTCATTTTACCCTGGCTAATCCCTTTTCATGTACTTAAGTCTTCATCTTACAACGGAGAGACGTTTGCAGACAGGGAGCACGTAATAAGGTACATAACCTCTGCAGCTAAGAAACTAAACTCCACTAAACCACCTTTGCCGCAAGACCACTCAATTCAATCAGGTTTAAATCTTCAGAACGCATTTTAATATTATCATGTTATCAGTAAACGAAAGTAGCCATGATCTGCTTTAAGACAGACCTCGGAGGGGCTGAGGAAAACAGCGAACATGTCAATCAGTGTAACAGGTATCTGGGCCGCGATTCGAACACAGCACCTTCCAAATACAAAGCGCCGACTACAGGCAGAATCAATTCCCTCTGACAATCTCCGGTGTACATGGACGAAATCTGACCAAAATCGGTTCAGTAGTTTAGGAAATGGAACGCGCGGAAGGCCGGCCGATACATATACCTCCGCATCAGGCGTTCATTTCATGTATTTCGTGCCAACAAGAAAGGACAAGTGGATTCGATGGTCTTTCACACAGCCTTCACACTCCACTACTCGCCAAACTGAAGTCGCTTTTGTTACAGAAATACCTTCACGACATCTGCTGACAGGCGCAGGAAACTCATAAATCACTCGTCTATAGGATAGCTCGCCAGTCACAGTGTGTCCAATTCGCTTATTGCAGTAGAAGCCAGTCAAGACGCAGTGGCTCACGAGCAGCGGCACGTACGACGGCAACAGTATCACCAGAAACGGGACAAGAATCTGGCATTTTCTGGAGAGGGCCCAGTCGCGCCATTATTTACTTTCAAAGTCCCGTGACACGCGTCTTTCGCACGAAGCAGACCGCCATCTTAGACCTCCTTGCAACGTGCAGACATTTAAAACCAGACAATCTTAGGACCCGAGGTTTTTACGGCGGTGAGACCGAAGTTGGCCGTCTTCTGGGTTGCAGCGCCGTGCAGTCTGATAATAAGTCCACCAATGTTTCGAAGGTATTTACTGCCGCCATCATCACGGCGACGATGATCCAAAGAGCGAGTCTTGCCGTAGCGTGTGCCGAACCCAAACGTTCGTCGCAAAATATCCACGAAATTATCTTATTCCGAGTACAGTACAGATGCACTAATACCCCCACCAGACGATTTTCGAGTAGAATTCTAAGGAAACAGCTACTTACCTTCTACTCGGTGGGACTGGTTCCCTGAGTGTAGAAGCCGAATGGCCGAGGGTGTTCTGCCCCAGCAGCTGTGGGCACTGTACCCGATCCTGACCGTAGAGGGACGGGCAGTGGCTTGGGGGCCTTCCTCGGCCGGGGCGAACCGCGAGTCCCTTGGTGCCCGGGTCCGAAAGGACGCAGGCGGGGTCGTCCCGGGCCTCGCTTCACGGGGATTGGTTGCGGGTGTCCTGGGTTAGCACCCGGGTCAGTCGACTGGCACGGGTCACCTATACGCAACAAACTGAAAATTACTGGCTACCAGAAGACACGGTTCTCGTACTCGGTTCTTTTGTGGCTTATCTAAAGAACGAAGTTTAACTCTTAAGTTCACGATTTAGCGTTCAATAACTCGACATTTCAAGTGGATTCGATGGTCTTTCACACAGCCTTCACACTCCACTACTCGCCAAACTGAAGTCGCTTTTGTTACAGAAATACCTTCACGACATCTGCTGACAGGCGCAGGAAACTCATAAATCACTCGTCTATAGGATAGCTCGCCAGTCACAGTGTGTCCAATTCGCTTATTGCAGTAGAAGCCAGTCAAGACGCAGTGGCTCACGAGCAGCGGCACGTACGACGGCAACAGTATCACCAGAAACGGGACAAGAATCTGGCATTTTCTGGAGAGGGCCCAGTCGCGCCATTATTTACTTTCAAAGTCCCGTGACACGCGTCTTTCGCACGAAGCAGACCGCCATCTTAGACCTCCTTGCAACGTGCAGACATTTAAAACCAGACAATCTTAGGACCCGAGGTTTTTACGGCGGTGAGACCGAAGTTGGCCGTCTTCTGGGTTGCAGCGCCGTGCAGTCTGATAATAAGTCCACCAATGTTTCGAAGGTATTTACTGCCGCCATCATCACGGCGACGATGATCCAAAGAGCGAGTCTTGCCGTAGCGTGTGCCGAACCCAAACGTTCGTCGCAAAATATCCACGAAATTATCTTATTCCGAGTACAGTACAGATGCACTAATACCCCCACCAGACGATTTTCGAGTAGAATTCTAAGGAAACAGCTACTTACCTTCTACTCGGTGGGACTGGTTCCCTGAGTGTAGAAGCCGAATGGCCGAGGGTGTTCTGCCCCAGCAGCTGTGGGCACTGTACCCGATCCTGACCGTAGAGGGACGGGCAGTGGCTTGGGGGCCTTCCTCGGCCGGGGCGAACCGCGAGTCCCTTGGTGCCCGGGTCCGAAAGGACGCAGGCGGGGTCGTCCCGGGCCTCGCTTCACGGGGATTGGTTGCGGGTGTCCTGGGTTAGCACCCGGGTCAGTCGACTGGCACGGGTCACCTATACGCAACAAACTGAAAATTACTGGCTACCAGAAGACACGGTTCTCGTACTCGGTTCTTTTGTGGCTTATCTAAAGAACGAAGTTTAACTCTTAAGTGCAAGATTTAGCGTTCAATAACTCGACATTTCGACCACTGCGTTCGTATTTGGGATATTTTGACTTTATACGTTAACTCCGAGTACAAGGGGATCTTTCTTCGACCACTGCGTTCGTATTTGGGATATATTGACTCTATACGTTAACTCCGAGTACAAGGGGGTCTTTCCCCCAGGGCAAAGGCGGCCGGAGAGTGAATCTGACCACTAGTTCCGGTGGTAAGAATTGGTGCAGATACAAACCACTCCTGCAACACGTCTTCATGGCGTGACACTTAACAGAGCTCAGGCAGACGAGAAGGTATGAGCTGATCTACGTTAGCAAGAAATGAACGCAGAAAGACCACAGACGAATGCAAACTCATACAGAACGCGTTTGTGAAACACAACTTTTTGTTCGTTCTGTCGAAGCTGGAGGTTTCCTGGTTTCCTTACTTATCGCGTAAAACGGTGTTTAGGTCTAGATATGTAACGCGGGTCTAACCGATGACAGGTTAATGAAATTCAACTGACCAAAATATCAAAACCGTAATTTCCATGACGTCACAGATCGAGCTTCTTACGCCTGTCTACTTAGAAGAGGCGTTTAAATACAACAGTGCCGTATAATTGCCGTCATTTCTCGTCATAAACCGGAAGCAGCTTAAGCAAATGTTGTATGATCCGCCAACCCCACATTTCTGTCAATTTCTCTAATAGGGAAACCAATCTCACAGTAGACAATACTCAAAAGGAAGCAGCCGGCAAATTAGAGGCAGTTTTAACGTATTCACAACAACATCTGTCCCCCAAAATACCGCCAGACAAATTCCCGTATCAGAATTGACGTTTAACAGCGGGAAAAGTCGTGTATAATTAAGCATAATTATACAAGTCAACACGTCATAACAACAATTTAACTTAGCAGCATTCAAATGGCGTTTCTTTCTTTGTACAAGCGGTGATTACGCAGGAGTTCAAACTACGGCCAGCGGGCCCAAAGCGGCCCGAGCGATGTTCTGATAATTGTTAATAATATACCCCTTTAACAGTCTACAATTTCTAATGCACAATATGGAACAGTTATTACGAAAATCTGCAAACAAATAAATGAGCTACGTATCAATTTTTTTTATAAAAAAAGCAGAAGGCCCATCTTAAAAACACATCACATCGCGATTTACGATTCAAACTTAAGAGATTTTTCTATGTGGTGGATACTTGAAGATGTGTTAAGAAAATCAGCTAAGGAAAAACACACCGACGTCTACAATAAATTGACGTCGAGGTCCACGAGGTATGAAACATCGGGGGGAAAAAAAACTGGTATGGGAAATACGTGTACTCCAAATTGTTAAATAAAACACGAACACAAATTAAAATGAAGTGAACTTCCTGCCAGGGCCCTCGGTTCAGGAAATATGTATTCTTCGACTGTTACACAGTAAACGTTTAAAGAAAGAAAGAAATCCAATGGATCAGATACGAAAACTTCACAAACGAACAAACACCAGTTCACATTTAATTCTTACACGGAACGTCTCGGAATTCGTTTTCAGCGGTAATGACATTTAGAAATCAGCCCGCCACACACAGCGGCACACCATTTTTCTCTTTTTCCTTCTTATTCTTCTTCTTCTCCTTTTCGCTTCACAAGAGAATGGGGAAAGCTAAGATAAAGGGGAGAGATAATTAATTTCGCTGCAACATCGGAAGACGCGTCTCCCTGGAGACGACAGGAAACAAATTTAAAGAGACTCAACACGACATGAACATTCGACAGATAGAATTCCATGTTTGAAGCTAAATTAAAACAAACACTGGAAAAGCGCAATCTTCCTTCCCTATCCCTTACGCTCGTTCAAAGATCAAAAGCTCAATCCCGTGAGAATTTCTTCAAAACACATTTCAGTATCATCCTCCCATGTACACCCAAGTCCTCCGACCAAGACGTACGTGCAACACGTCCTGCCAATCTTATCGTCTCATTCTACAGGAAGCTGATAAGGACAAATCGGTTGTGAAGGCGAGGACTGGGCAGAACTGGTTCAGATTATGGTCAGAAACCAAGATTCTGATCCACCACGATCTGGTAGAACAGCTGACAATCTACAAACTGCAGGAACAATGATGACGCCTTGGATGCGACGGAGCATTAATCCAAGTGGATCCTGCAAATGGCTTCTGCCTTGTTGCGGGAGACACTTCCGGAAGATGACGTAGATGCTTCCGGTCCGCAGAGAGTGTCTCACGCTAAAGAGGCATTCCTCATCAAACCGGTCTGTCAACCCGCGACACTCGGCTTCCTTGTGTCGCGGGTTGACGGAATGGAGGGAGAGAGAGCCATTACACAACCGTTCTTATTTTAAGAAGCTGTATCAACTACTGAGCTTCTGTAGCTGAACAATGATAAAACTGGAAAGGAAACACGCCAGCACGGATTATTTTAACAAACAGAAAGTACTCACCTAGGCCCAGATCGCTGTTTGTAAGATTGACGGTGATCGCTCTGCCCCGGGTGCTGGGGATTCCTCTCCGGGATCCTCGGGGGCGGCCTCGCTTCGCCCCCCGTCCTGTTGGACGGGGTCTGCCAGTCACTAGCATATTACTCGCAAATGGCAGGGGAAAGCCTGGAAATACGAGGCACAAAATGCAAAGCGTCGCCTCTTCGCGGTTAAACGACGATTAAAATTTAAAAGAAATCGTTGCTTATTACGCGACTACTACAGAGATTAAATACAGATGATAAGAAAAAATTATGATTAATGGTGATGTGGTGACGATCACGACAGATGAAACGGTCGTGGCATATTTTAAGTTCCTAACATGTTATTTGTCTAGACCAGTGGTATTCAACCTGGGGTACGCGAAGACATCTTAGGGGGTACGTGAAATTAAAAAAAAATATTATTTTATGACAAACACTGAATAATCAGTAATGTAATTTATTTAATTTATTTTAGATGTAGATTATATACTATGTATAACTTGAATTATACACCAACAACTTTGGGGGTACAGAGTCGAAGCGAAATTATATCTGGGGGTACGCGAACAAAAAAGGTTGAATACCACTGATCTAGACGACCTGCGGAAAACGACACCCAGAGTCGAAGCAGGGTCTACTGATTATCTCGTAACTTAAGAAATGAATGTAAACGAATAATATGCATCAAACGTTCAAGCACACTTTCCAGAAAGCCTGGGAGTCTGAGAGAAGTCCGTCTTTATTTAAAATAAACGTCTGCATGCCGAACTAACAACGTTCTATTTTTCAAAAGCCAATTCGCGGCGGCAGCAATCCAAATAACGCTACACTGAAAACAGCAAACAACGCCCTCTAATGACACACAAACATTAATTCAGAGTTAAAATTTTTCCACAAAACTATGAAACAAAACAACAGCGGTTACTAATCGCGTGGCATAACACGAAGCAGTTTGAATTCATAAATGACCCCCATTACCGCTGAACAATCAACACCCAAATGGCGCAATTTTCAGGCTCAACGGACGCGTTCCTAAATCTGCCTTGAGCCTCGAACGCCCCCATTCACCGAAGCAGATGGGACACAGCCCTAATTACCGTGTGGGGTGGGTGATGGGGCTTCGAAATGAGCATATGCTTTATCCCATTTGAAACGCCTGTCGTGAATACCACATTCAGATTAAATAAAAAAAAGTTTAGTATCGCGTATAATGGCGAGTTTAATGCTATTTTAGTAAGACGGTCGCCAGCACGAGCTACGCCTCTTACGGGGTTAATCGGATTAATTTAAAAAAATCTAATATAAAGGTGGGGTGTTGAATTAATATTTACAAACGCCCAGATACTGAGACGCTGGTTGCAAAGCAGAGCCAAGCTTGCGACTGAAATTCCTGATCCTGTCAGAGGACACTACTCTCGAAGAAGTTATTTATACGAATCAGACGCTCTTAATAAAAGGCGGAAGTTAGAAGAAACGGCATAATGCAATCCGGAACTGAACTAATCTGCCCGTTCTGGAGACCGGGTGTAGCTACCGGTTGCAGTTAATGGCTAGCTCCTACAGTTGACGAAGGTTTCCTTCCTAAAAAAAACGCGACATGCCTTAATAAGTCTGTAGGGGCGAGTAGGGGGTGGCTTATACTTTTTTAAAACCTAAAAATAGCCGTAACACATGTTTCATATTTTGCAAACATCATCCTACACCTATACATATGGCAGAGACTGCACGCCCTGCATTGCGGTACGTGCAACAGTGTCGTAAGCGACTGATATCACAAGCTTAAGTGAGAAAGATTAACAATAAGTTTACTTCGCCGGTTACCAATAGCAGAATACATGAGTTCTCGTCCATCGACGGGTTCTGAACCTTTCAAGACCTGAAGCTACACTCAAACTTCCTTTTCGTCTATCGGATCGCCGGATTATAAGTGAAGAAAATTTATTGAAACTTCATTGCAGTTTTTTTAAACGCTAATTACTTATATTCTGCAGGCCAACATATTACTCGAAAACTTTCTTTAACAATTCCGTATCTAGAAAGATTTTAGGCACTGCATTTACTTCAGCAGTCCTTCGATATCGGCGAGATTTGAAGTTTCCACGGCCGGCAGTGAAAATGACGATGCGACGCTCTGAAGATGGAGACATTACGTACCGCCGAAACACTGGCACCTGTATACGAGTCTGCACGGCGTCAGACCCAGGACAAATGCCGTCGTCTCAACATCAGGTTTAATTTCTCTTGTTGTGATTAGTGTTCATCAGTTATGACGCGTCCTAATTCTCGATTTGAGGCTCTTCGTTTACCTGAGATGATGCTCACATTAACAAATCGTGTTTTCTGACATTAGAGACCGAAGGGACACGAGGCTTGGTGGGTGCAACACCCGGTGCGGACGTAATAGGGAATGTAGTCTTCCCCACGTCCCGGGAATCGAATCCGGCCATCCACACAGCAGCAAGTCACCTAGCAACGTTATTTCCTTTTTGCATTGAAACCACACCATTTCTTAAGCACGATCGTTTCTCCCCTAACTAAAAAAGAATCATCATAAAACAGCGAAAAGGATTTATGAGCCCTCAAACGTATGAATTATTGAAACAGCTGGGGGTTTTTCTCTCTTTTTCCCAGCGACTGCGCAATCTCTTTTGGCAGAAGGCACTTACATGGACGCATTTAAAATGCTGCAGATGGAGCGCAGACAGTTTAGATTTTGCCCATTTTGGAGTAGGTGGGTTTACGGGCAGACATGACGAGACATATGATTTTTTTTTTTTTAAATTTCAGTTCTCCACAATCGGAAACGAAGCTTTGTTACGCATATTCATAAATCCGCAAAAAACCTTTCCCAAATGCATCAGAATATCTGTCCCCGCCATCCCCACAACGTCAGGATGCGTGCGATCCTTGATCCTACACGTTGGAAATACAGCCCTGCGCTTGCCAATATGGAAAAAAGACAGATCCAAGACGACTTAAAACGCCTCAAAGCGAAAACACAGACTTCCCCTCGCTCCGTCGGCAACTTCTCCGACAGGAAAGAAAAGCGGGGTTGCATACGCAGTACATATCAGGCAAAGTTCAGCGAAGCGTGCTACCGACAGAAGAAAGTAGCATGATCAAAAACCAAAGTCCTGTTGTTGAAAAGTCTGTGGTTGGTTGTCACGGCGATCAATAAACTACAGTTTTACAGAACCTTAAGGTTCATCAACGTACTAACAAAACCATGCCACCAGACTCTGCCCCGAGTCAGTTTGATGCAATCTCGGATTTCAATATTAAACGCGAACACCGCCTGCAGTTCATCAGTTATATAATCCCGCAGTACACTTCTGTCGGAGAAGTTGCCGTCTCACCAAAGCACCATTTTTGTTAACATCAACTCCACTTATCTGCCCGCGTATTTATCTGTCTAGGAAATAGGGCATATCTATTTACTCACTGGTTAATTAACCACGCTGTAAATTAAAATAGGAAAGGCGTGGTACCCTATTAGTACAATAAGTCATTTTACTCATAGAAAGTTGTCCACCGCAAATAAAAACAATAGGTCTTAAATTGGGACACGAATAAATTAAAAATCACGGAACCAATTACGAAAAAATTATATCGACAAAAACAAGTTCAGCGACAACTAAAATCCCTACGTATGAAATCACATTAGTACCGAAGTTAAAAGTAAATTAAAACTAGTTTAAAAGTTACTAAGGTGGACAGACATGCAGAAATACTTAAGTTGAACAAGCGCTTACTTTGTGGAGTGGCCGGACTGTCCACGTCCACCACAAGCCCCTCGTTGCTCGTCTCATCCTGAAGGGGCGCTCCACTGCCCTGAGACACCTGCACAAAAACCAGAGGAGCACATCGTGAAGACAAACAGAGAGCACCGAAAAATTTATTTAATATAGTTCTGAAGAAACATTTACAATCCAATTACTTGTTGTGTCTTATTGTTTTTGTTGTGTCCTTTTGTTTATTGTTTTGTTCTGTCTCTGTGTTGATGTATCTCATTGTTTATTGTGTCTAATTGTTTTTGTTGTGTCCTTTTGTTTATTGTTTTGTTCTGTCTCTGTGTTGATGTATCTCATTGTTTATTGTGTCTAATTGTTTTTGTTGTGTCCTTTTGTTTATTGTTTTGTTCTGTCTCTGTGTTGATGTATCTCATTGTTTATTGTGTCTAATTGTTTTTGTTGTGTCCTTTTGTTTATTGTTTTGTTCTGTCTCTGTGTTGATGTATCTCATTGTTTATTGTGTCTAATTGTTTTTGTTGTGTCCTTTTGTTTATTGTTTTGTTCTGTCTCTGTGTTGATGTATCTCATTGTTTATTGTGTCTAATTGTTTTTGTTGTGTCCTTTTGTTTATTGTTTTGTTCTGTCTCTGTGTTGATGTATCTCATTGTTTATTGTGTCTAATTGTTTTTGTTGTGTCCTTTTGTTTATTGTTTTGTTCTGTCTCTGTGTTGATGTATCTCATTGTTTATTGTGTCTAATTGTTTTTGTTGTGTCCTTTTGTTTATTGTTTTGTTCTGTCTCTGTGTTGATGTATCTCATTGTTTATTGTGTCTAATTGTTTTTGTTGTGTCCTTTTGTTTATTGTTTTGTTCTGTCTCTGTGTTGATGTATCTCATTGTTTATTGTGTCTAATTGTTTTTGTTGTGTCCTTTTGTTTATTGTTTTGTTCTGTCTCTGTGTTGATGTATCTCATTGTTTATTGTGTCTAATTGTTTTTGTTGTGTCCTTTTGTTTATTGTTTTGTTCTGTCTCTGTGTTGATGTATCTCATTGTTTATTGTGTCTAATTGTTTTTGTTGTGTCCTTTTGTTTATTGTTTTGTTCTGTCTCTGTGTTGATGTATCTCATTGTTTATTGTGTCTAATTGTTTTTGTTGTGTCCTTTTGTTTATTGTTTTGTTCTGTCTCTGTGTTGATGTATCTCATTGTTTATTGTGTCTAATTGTTTTTGTTGTGTCCTTTTGTTTATTGTTTTGTTCTGTCTCATTGTGTTGATGTATCTCATTGTTCTGTTATGTCTCATTGTTTTGTATGTTATTGTAGGACACTGCCACCGGGTATAAACCCATTTGCAGTCAATAATAAATAATAATAATAATAAACCTACCCACACTATGCACGGAAATATTACTCAAATCAAAAACATTTAATGCGCCGATAAATTTTAATATAACTCCGCAAAATAAATTTTCATTTAAAAAAAACCGTGAAGCCGTTCTCTAGTTGCTATGGACGGACAGAGAGGCTGCCGACGCGACGTTAACAGGAGCTCTGCATAAAAATGTTACGCCAATATTCGGGGGGGAAACCCATTTCTCGTGGCCGAATTCGTGAACATAAGATTTTCCGTGGTCACATCCCGTTCTAACCACGTGGACCTATAAGAAATACGATCGTCTGATGCATGAAAAACAGCAGGAGTTGGCGGACATAATTGAGGCTCGGCGCTTTTCTGGTACTCACCTCACTCTGACTTGGACTAGGCGGCGTAGAGTCGACACTGAGGACGGAATCTTCATGTCCGTCATCAACCCGGATTCTTTTTGGCTCAGCCTAAAAGGGACAACACAGTTCAGCCAAGCACAAACAATTCTGTCACCCAAGCTCGTAGAACTACAAGTGGAAAGACTCTCCCCATGGCATGGCGCATTTTTTGGTTACCAAGGATCAAAGATCGTAGGTTTTAAAACCCCTCGCACTTCTGGTGAATGACACTACATGCTGGCAACATTCTGTCCCCGGACTATACCGGTGCTAGACGTTTGGTTCCGCCTTCCGCTCCGTGATGACGTCTCGCGTGGACGGTAACCCTGAGGGCCGGTTCCAAGAACAAGCAGTGACCATGATATTACACGGTGCCTACAATACCTAGAGTTCAAAGATGTGCCCTGCTAATCGGACTTCATTCAACTCGGAACTGGCATAGCTCAGTCAGTAAGGAAACTGAGAGGCCACCGGGATCGACTCCCAGCAGGGGCTAAAAATTGCCTCTCTGCTTCTAGACTGGCGTGAGCCAACTCAAATTATAAAATGAATATGACTGTAGGGAATCGAAACACAAGAAATTGGACCGCAGTCTTCTGCGGTAAAGCACTCTGTAATTTTTTAGGTGGTTACCAACGTATTGGAAGAACACACTTCCTCCATCTTCAGGGTTTTACAGTGTCACACATCAATTATATATGGATCTGAGACATTTAAGTGTTCGGGAAGTTAAGGCTTGAAGTTCTCACGGCAGCGAAGATTTCAACACTGGTCTTCTGGGTTGTAAAGCTGCGACAACTTTCCGTTAGATGCCAGCTCTCTCCGTCTTCATCTTCAGGCGTGATTATAAAACCCTGGTATCTACCTACAAGTCCACGCGGCGTTACAACGCAGAAGACCAACTTGGATGCAAGTTGAGAGTGCAAGCACTATAGAAAATGCCTGTCACAATGCAGTAATGTGATGCGTTACAAGATAGGGTTTCACATTTTCTTTCAAATTCCCCAACCACAATGCTGGATGTGCTTCGTGGTTTTTGTCAGTGGCCAATTAACTTGGAAACAACAAGAGACATTCCTTTACAACTGCTCGTGTTCATCGTGAACTGTACGTACGTCTGCCTCCATTCACTTTCGTTCATTACATTCACGGAGTGAATTTTCGTAAAACGCAACTTAATACGGGGTTGAGCGAAGTGGACAGAAGAGATTCACTACAAAGGCAAACATTTTCAGGCAACATAACAAATAAAACCACGAAACTAAGTAAATACCAACATGTTCGAGTAAGGACTTATGCAAGCTACATGTACAGTCCATCACTTCCCTCTGACGTAATTGCGTACAGAAGTTCAATAATTTAAATTTCAACAGACCGTCTATGAACTCCGATCCCACATTACGTGTTATCAGGGTATCAAGGACATTCCTAAGTTCTGTCCATCCTCAGATTGAACTTCGACAGACGTGAATATCCAAAGAAAGAACCACTGTATTGGCGAAGCAGGAAAACATGTTCC